CTGCGCCGTGCGGGGCTCGTGCCGCTGCGGAGATGTGCTGCTCTTTTCGCGTGTTTTTAGGCGCGTGTCCGTGCGCGTAACCGTGCATGATTCACCGTGCACGGGACACGTGCACGCGGAGCCGGGGACGCGCTTTTTACGGTAAGAACTTCAAAAAGACCGGAAATATGACCGGAAAGAGCCGTTAGCTCCAGGCTAACGAGCTAACGAGGCTAACGAGGCTAACGAGGCTAAAGGGACTAAAGGGACTGGAACGTGAAGAACCTGAAGAACCTGCTCTGGTCCTGTGGGATCCTGGTTCAGTCCTGGTTTAGTCCTGGTTTAGACCTGGTTTAGTCCTGGTTTAGTCCTGGTTTAGACCTGGTTCAGTCCTGGTTCAGTCCCATTTTAGTCCTGGGTTAATCCCGGTCTAACCCTGGTACAGTCCCGTGATTAAATCCCAGTTTAGACTCTGTTCAGTCCTGGTTTAGTTCTGGTTCAGTCCCGGTTCAGACACAGTGTAGTCCTGGTTTAATCCTGGTTTAGACCTGGTCTAGTCCTGGTTCAGACTCAGTCTAGTCCTGGTTCAGACCCGGTCTAGACCCAGTCTAGACCTGGTTCAGACCCGGGCTAGACCTGGTTCAGACCCGGTCTAGTCCCAGTTCAGACCCGGACTAGTCCCGGTTCAGACCCGGTTCAGACCCGGTCTAGACCTGGTTCAGACCTGGTTCAGACCCGGTTCAGACCCGGTCTAGCCCTCTCTGCTGGACTCTGTTTCCCAGGGGGCCGAGCGGTCGGTGATGCTGTTGGAGGATGAGGAGGTCCAGACTGGTTCTGTTCCTGGTCCTGGTCTGTGTCCTCGTGGTCTACCTCACGGTCCTCAAGCGGCACTACGACTCCCACAATGCACTGCCCCAGAGACACCCCGCCCCCAAAGGCTTCCTGACGCCCCATTGGCCAACGGGCTCCAGGGGGCGGGTCCAGTTTGGCATCATGTTTGACGCCGGCAGCACCGGGACCCGAGTCCACGTGTTCAAGTTCAGAGTGGACCACAACAAGAGCCGTGAGTCCTGGTTCAGTCCTGGTGTAGTCCTGGTTTAGACCTGTTTTTTTTTTATATATCTGGGCCTTAAAATTGTTCAGAGTAATTTCTCCATGTCACATTTGTCCTCAAAGTTTAATTTTTCAAACATAATTTTTTGGTTAAATAACGTTGCTTAAATAAAGAGGAAACAAAACCTGAAAACCAAATCCTCCGAAAACGTGACTGAAGATCATGAACGACAGAAACAAGAAACACGAGAAACAGAAAATCTCAGCAGAACAAAGTTTGACTGAGGTTGTTCTGTTGTTTTTTTAACGTTGGTTTTATGTTTCTGAGCGACACGTTTGAAGTTGGAGTTATGAGGAAGCGTGTGTGTGTGTGTGTGTGTGTGTGTTATGTGTATATATATATATATATATAATATATATATATATATATATATATATATATATATAATTAGTGATGGGCAGATGAAGCTTCATGAAGCATTGACGCCTTTCATCCAGTTGCTTCACTCTGGTGCAAAGCTTCCTGAAGCTTCTTTTGCTCTAGTGGGACACAAACCTACTGGACACAAAAAATATCAGTTGACATGAATTTGAAGTGTGTGTTGCATTTTGCAGAAAGTCTGTGAATAAAACTGTCAGCAAAGTAAAGAAGTATACAAAACATGTATATTGTAGTGATGTATACTGTGTGTGTATATATATATAAATATATATATAAATATAAATATTTTATATATATATACTGGCAGTATGGAAAATTATTATTTGGAAATTATGAAAATGCTAATGATCATTTGAGGTGAGGGTGGTTGGGTTGGAGTTTGGACAGTGATTGTGCTTTTGTAACGTTGGGTGATTATGGTTCAGGGACACATCATTGGTTTTTATTTAAAAACAACAGTTTCTCCACTGTGGCAGGTCTCAGGCCATTTCTTTTTTTTGACAATATTTCTCCTGCTTTCGAAAACACCCGCTCACAGGGCACAGATGAGGCAGGCGGACACAAGAATGCCACTGCTAATTTATATAAATGGGGATAGACATATTGTCTCTCCCAGTATTGAAGGGGGTCCTCCAGCCTTCCAGTATTTGGCTCCATCATGCACCGTTGGACCTCAATATGTGCGTCTGCTATTACATTTTGTGTTTGTGTCTGCCTCTGTCATCCAGGCGACACCACAGGTTGTTACCTAAGAAATAAGAATAGTTTTTTTGTGAGTTTAACAGTTCATATAAATGCAACTAAAATGGAATAACAATAGTACCTTGGGGAACAGCCACAACAGTTTGTGAGGTTGTTGGCTGTGATGGTGGTGGTGGTGAGGAGGAAGAAGAGGTGGTGGTGGTAGCCCCTCATTATGGAAGCACATTCTGCTTTCAGTCTTTTCTGCTTCACCCGCTCTTACAGGGCTGAGAAACCCAATTTTTCTGAACCTTGGGTCCAATATTGTTGCGAGGCACATAATGC